GGGTCAGCCACCAGCTTCGCCGGATCACTGAGGATGCTCGGGTCGACGCCTTCCGACTGCATCTTGAGCTCGACCTGCATCGCCGGCATGCCCATCTTCATGAGCTTGAAGAACTTGGCGTACTTGGGGTGCTCCTTGATCGGGATCATGGCCGGACCCGCGGGGGCCGCCGGTGGCACGTCGACGGGCAACTGCTTGTCGGGTGTGTCAAGCATCGACGCGTCGACGCCTTCGCTGGAGGCCTTGAGCTTGACGTGCTCGAGCGGCATACCCATTTTGAGCAACTTGAAAAACTTGGCAAACGTCGGGTGCTCACTCGCCTGGACCGTCGTCGGCGCCGGCGCCGGTGCCGTCGTCGTCATGGTGGGTGGCGGCAACGGCTTGCCATCGTCGTCGACAAACATACCCGGCTGCTCGAGGACACTCGCATTCATCCCGTCGGCTTGCATCTTCATCTGGACTTGGAAGAGCGGCATGCCCATCTTCTGGAGCTTAAAGTACTTTTGAAGCGCAGGCGACGCGTCCGCGCGGGTGCCGGCGACCGGCGTCAGCATTTGGAGGCCCGTACTGAGCCCCATCGTGCGTTGGATCTCGACCAGCGACACGCCCTTTTGCAGCATATTTACGACCTTGGCCCGGAACGCACTCTCGGCGCTCTCTTCAGGGTCCGCGACCGAGTTGTCGTCGTCGTCGTCGTCATCGGACGTCGTGAGTTCGTCGCTGAGCTCATCGTGCGGCGCGCGGTTGCGAAGGAGCTCGATCGGGCCCATGGGAAAGCTGCTTGTTGAGAGCTCGGGCGCCGTCTCCATGAGGTACGCCGTAAACTTGTCGCGGGCGCTCAAGAGCCGCTTCCGGTCGTCAAAGCTGAGCTCGTACCGGCGCACTTCGTCGACGGGCGAGAGAAGCGCAATTTCCTTCGTGACGCGCTCGCACATGGCCCACATCTCCTTGCCGAGCACTTGGTCGGCCGGGATGAAGAGCAATTGCTGGAGGATCGAGAGGAAGCAGTTGCGCAGCTCTTCGTCGAGCACAACGCGCGTCATGATGGACGCCACGACGCTGTCGAGCGACGAGAGGTCCGTCGTGCCGTACAGCGTGTTCTTGCGGTCGTCCTCCATAAAGACTTCAAACACCTCCATCTGCCGCTCCATGTTGTCCAGCTGCTCGCGAATTTGGAGTTCGGTCGCAGAGAGCGCACTCGGGTCATCTTCGTCGCTCTCGGAACCGCTGCCGTCGTCCAAGCCAAACGACGGCGACTCGGCCCACGGGTCGTTCACCGGTCCACTCGAATGGACGGGCGACTCGACCGACACGAGCGGCTCGGGCAGCGCAGCCTTCTTGCCCGCGACGCCAATCTTGACGGTGGGCGGAAGCCCAGGTACCGACGTCTGCCGCACGGCCGGCGATGGCGGCGGGAGGCTCAGCGACGGTGGACGCATGCCCGGTGACGGCAAGTACGATCCCGGCGACGGCAGACCTTGCGAGCTCTGACGCCCCATGACCGGTGGCGGCGGCGTCGAGGGCTTGGCCACCGGGGACATGGGCGGGGTCGACGGCTTGGGTTTCTTCTTCTTGCTCTTCTTGATCGGGTCCTTGATCGTGCCAGCCTTGGCGTACATGGCCATGCTCTTCATGCGGATCTCCTCGAAGTACTCGCTGATGCCGAGTGCGACAAAGTCCTGTCGGATCTCAATGCGGCTCTCGACGCGGAGACCCTTGTTGACGAGGATGTTGATGAAGCTGAGCACGTCTTCTTTGAAAAGCAAGTTGTAGCGCGTCGACTTGAGCGCGTCACGGAGGCACGTGAACCGGATCATCTCGCCTTTGACCTCCTTGTAGTTGCTAAAGCTGTGCACGACGCTTTGGTGGCCTTCGGCGCTGTTGTAGCAAATGATGCCGAGCACTTGGAGCGTGATCTTCTTGACGTCGCTGCTCTCGGTGTGGAAGCAGAGCGCGAGGCGGTCGACGAGCCCGAGCGTGCTCGTGATCGCGTCAATGCCACTGGCAAAGTGCGAGAGCGACAGCAAAATGCGGATAATGTTTTCGCAAAACCGGCTCGCTTTCTCAAAGCTCTTGTAGTGGTGCTCAATTGAGAACGGCGACGGCTCGGGCATCTTCATTGTGAGGTAGTCGAGACCGTACGAGACGACAAACTGGTCGGTCCACTCGGCCGTGCTCGACGCGATCTTGCGGTGCAGCGTCTCGAGGAGTGCGAGGCCCTTGTTGTCCCAATGCAGCTCGACGAGCGCCTCGGCGATCTTGATCGCGTCGGCAATGTAGCCCTGGCTGCTCTCGTCGTTCTCGTGCTGCTTGGCCGACCACACAATGCTCCACTTGTTCTCCAAGCTCTCGATGCGCACGAGCTCGTCGAGGACGTCTTCCGGCACGTTGCGCTTCATGAGCAGCTCGCGGTACATGTCGTTGACAATGTCGGGCGCTGGCAACGGCGGCATGTCGACCTTCTTGGCCTTACTCTCGGTCGACGTCGGCAGCCGGTCTTTGAAGAAACCACGAAAGTAGTTGAGCTTGTCCTGGAACGACCCGTCTTGGGCCGAGGCGGACGTGATGGTCGGGGGCGGCGGCGCCGTTGTCATCGAATGCGCCGTCGACGACGACAAGCCCGGGAGGCTCATGCTCGCGGCGCGGAGAAAGCCCGAGAAACCCTTGGGTTTCGCGGGCTCGGCGTCCTGCACCTCGGGCTCGCGCTTGAACTCGAGCCGCAGTGGCCACGCCATCGGGTTGTCCTGCAGCTGCGCGGCCAAGTCGACGATCGCGTCGAACGGCATGTCGTCGACCTTGGTATCGTGGAGCTGCACGAGAATGTCCTTCTCCTTGACCCGCCCCGTGCTCTGCGATACTGGTGAGAATATGAGAGGACGATGCGACCGTCTACCTCGATGTAGCCCTTCTTGCCATGGCGGTTGGGCTTGAAACCCTTGACGACGGCGCCACGCTGCGGGTGGACGTTGGCTGAGAAGCGCGCCTTGAGGTCGAGTCCGAGCGGCCCGCGCTCGGGCACCTCGACCGTGAAGACGAGCGCGCGCTGGCCCGAGCCCGTGCTCGAGTAGATGCTGCGCAAGGCTGCGGTCGCCGCCGTCGAGCCGCCCTCGGCGTTCCCACTGCTCGAGTTGGATCTCCTCCTACGCCAAGTGCACCTTGCTCATCTTGCTCGTCCTCGATGCATGCACGTACAGGTAGTTCATGACCCTGCCCCGCCGGAACGAAAGTCAATGACGTATCCAGGCCGCCCCAGACTCCCGCTTGGTCGTGTTTCAAACACCCATCTGTACTTGAACTTGTGCTTTGTATTTGTTTTGTATATTGAAAACAACAGATCTGTATAAAACAGTGCGAAGTTTTGGCCCACTAACTTGACATTTGTATGGTGCGCAAAAGGTCGGATCGGTGCCGGTTCAACGCAGCTCTATGCTATAAGAACCAGTTTATGGCTGACCTCACGACAGGAGATGGTCAGCGGGCAGCCGCGCTTCACCCACCGGTACGCCAGCTATGTACGCCAGCTATGCACGCCAGCTATGTGATAAACCAACTGCATTTTTGCAAGCCCCGACCACCTTGAAGATAGATCTATGGACCACAATCGCCAGTGGTTCTAGAACCCGCCTTTCTCCCGATCGCTGCGATCGAACGCACGTAGGAGTAGGTGCGCTCCGCTACGATGAGCGTGACTTTGGTTGGGCATGCACCCTCTTGGACCTCGTCGAACCGAGGTGCAGGAGGTGGCGGCTCGGTGCAAAGTGGCCGGTGCGGCGACGGGAGCTGTCGCATTTTGGCCAATCCATGCGCTTGCGTTTAGAAACACAGACTACGATTGGTGCCTGCGAAAGATTTATTGGGCGGGATGGGCGAGCCAGCGTTCGACGCGGCGCACCTACGCTAGCGCTACCGTACGAACGAACTAGTAACTCGCTTTGCTTGTACGAGTACTTGACCATGGCTCCTCCAACGTACTGTATCCGACATGTACTGATATCCCATGGACATTATTGTCGACGAGGCCAGTTTGAGGGCGAGGACGGCGATGCATCGAGAGCCTGTGGCGTTGCACCTTGCCGGTGCGAATGACTTTGACGCAGCTGAGCAACGCAGCTGAACGACGCTAGGTCGCGTGCGCCGTCAGCCACCTAGAAGCAAGTTGCACCTTCCACGTGGCACTGTGGGCAAGCACGAGATCGGACACGTGGCAGCATCAGCGGCCAGCACGACGTTAGCGCGCGTTTGGTTGACAAGGCGTCGATCCTGCCTCGTTGCCGAACCCTCGAGACGCACAATGGGGCCAGTGCTGTATCATGCACATGCTGTCCACAGCATGACACACGCACCTTCTCGTGCGATGATGGTCCGTGGCGTCTTCCATAATCGGTGGTCGACATGGCTTGTCTTCGTAGTTGGGTGAGCATGACCCAACAACGATCGTCGGCGTCTTCCTTGGACGCCGACGATCCAAGCGCAACACGCTGTGTACCACTGTCCTTGTTAATAAATACTCGAGCGGGGTGGCCGCTTCTTCTTCGCGCCTTGTGTCGGCGCCGACGCCTCGGACCGGCGCCACTCGCGAGGTGTCGTCCAGAGCGCTTTAAAGAACCGGCCGACGTGGTCGCCGATCTCAAAGAACCGGAGGCCGTCGCGTACATAGGGGTGCTTCATGACGGTCTTCATCGCTGGTCGGCGCTTCGGGTCGACATCGAGGAGCTTCTTGAGGAGGTGGAGGCAGTCCTTGCTCACGACGTGGTCAAGCTTCCAGCCGCGGAGGACGCCAACGAGGCCATGCGCCTGCACGTAGCGGAAGACGCTGTCGCTGTCGTCGGCGCGGCCAAAGAGCGGGCAGCCCGTGAGCATGATGAAGAGCATAATGCCAAGCGCCCACACGTCGGCCTTGTCGGGTGCGTAGCCGCCAGGCAAGAGCATCTCGGGCGCCATGTAGATGCGCTTCCCGACCGGCGTCAGCTTGCGCGCGGCTGTCGGCGACGCGAGGCCAAAGTCGCCGACCTTGCAGTTGAAGGTCGCGTCGACAAATACGTTTTCGAGCGAGAGGTCGCAGTGCGCAAAGCCGCGCTCGTGCATAAAGGCCACGGCGGTCGCGATCTGGATGAAGCAGTCGTGCGCGCGCGTCGGCTGGAAGCGCTGCGAAGGCTGTCGCTGGAGCTCCTGGAACAGCTCGCCGCGCGGACAGTACTCCATGACAAAGTGGTCATAGCCGTCGGCGCAAAAGGTCTCGTGGAGCGCAACAATGTGCGCGTGGGCAAGGAGCCCGTGCACGTGCTTCTCCATGGTCGCGTCCTCGGCGACGAGGCGGCCGTCGTCGACCGACCGGCGCTCGGCGGCCGCGCGCAGGTCGAGCCGCTTGACGACGACCCGCTGCGTACTGTCGCGACAAAGCAGCACGCGGCCGTACAAGGCATGCGCAAGCTCGCGCTCGACGAGGTAGTTCTTCATGCGGAACAGCGAATCACCAACTGGCAACTGCACGAATAGAGTGAGTGCTCACATGCGACGGTGGCACTTGAAGCTGACCCGACCACTCGCGTCCACGATGCGACCAGCAATGGCTTCGGGACAGTCCAACGATTACTACCTGCGAGCCTGTCGTATGTAGGGAACCTCATGTGGGAAGCTTTGACGACGGACTCCTTCCCGTAGCGTATCTGAAGCGCCTCCAAGCGCCAACCTCAGCCCACCTCGTCATCACCGACGCCTGTTCATGTAACGCGGATTTTTGCGAAATGTACCGTACGTAACCAGCACTTGAACAGATTTGCTGGAGCGGCTGGACGAGCCGCGTTCGAAGGTGGCTCAGCGTACCGGTAGTGGGCCTCGTAAGTAGAGAAGCAGAGTGACTAGTGCCACGATGGCCCAATACAATAGATCCTGGCATCTTCGGTACCGTGTCCTTCTAGACAGGTCGCCGCCCACTTGTTGAAGCGCATTGCTTCCGTCGCGCTGCCGCGTCGCCAGAGGCGCGTCCGATTTTGCTTGCGCGTCACGCGTCGCCCCTGCATCGACGTCACCTTTGTGTAGGTTATGTTGCATCTGTTGCATCGCTAGCACCCATGTAATATCCAACTGCCATCGACAATATGTGCATTTTCACTGCAAAAATAGTTGTAAATACGTCGACTAGTCAAATTTCTTCGATCGAAAAATTACCCGCCACGACGTTGAAAGAGACTCGCCAAGAGCCGGCGAACCCGCGGAAACCGCTGCAGGCGCGAGCCACAGGGCGCTGCCGCGACGTAGGGGTGCGCTACCACCGTGGCCATGGTCGGCCGTCGCGCCGGGTCCACCGAGAGCATCTGCGAGAGGAGGTCGAGGAGGGCCGGCGCCACAACGTCGGCGACTTTCCAGCCGTCCAGAATTTGCTCCAGTCGGTTGGTCGTCGCGTGGATGTAGAACCGGTAGACGCCGTCGGCTGTCGTCGCCTTTTGAAAGAGCGGCGCGCCCGTGAGCATAATGAAGACCATGATACCGAGCGCCCACACGTCGGCCTTCTCGGGGTCGTAGCCGTCGGGCGTGAACATCTCTGGTGCCATGTAGAAGAACTTGCCACCACCGACCACGCGCGTCCCATGCAATGGCGCCGCGAGGCCAAAGTCGCCGAGCTTGCACTGTCCGTGAGCGTCGAGGAAGACGTTTTCGAGCGAGAGGTCGCCGTGGGCGTACCCCTGCGCGTGCATGTAGGCGACAGCGCGCGCGATTTGACCAAAGAAGCGGTGCGCCTCCGTCGCCGGCAACTTGTGTAATTTCTGCACATGCGAGAAGAGGTCGCCGCGAGGGCAGTACTCCATGACCAAGTGGTCAAAGTCACCGAGAGCAACGGTCTCGTGCGCCATCACAAGGTGCTCGTGCGAGAGCGCGAGGTGCACCATCTTTTCAAACGCAAAGTTTTCGGACACGGCGTGCTGGGCGTCCCAGGACCGACGCGCGTTGGCCGCGGCCACTTGAACACGCTTGACGACGACGCGGCGCTTGGCGCGGCGGTCGTAGCAGAGGAGGATCTTGCCAAAGATGGCGTTCGCGAGCTCGCGCTCAATTGTATAGCGTTCCATGTGCAAGGTCGTGAAAAAAAGAATCTGCGGAAAGTGCAACCGAGCTTTCCAAAGCGGAATGTAGGTCGCGAGTGATGGGCTTTATAGTGGACATGCTCTGTCGCTGCCCGTAGGGTCATCATGGACAGAGATGGCAACGATAGAATCAATGGCAGCAAAGGCGTCGAGCCATCGATGGTCGTAGGACACGCCGTCGCGAAGACGAGAGCCAGCAATGCGCCGGCCCACCGTGCCGAAGACGACCATCGAAGATCGAACAGAATCGAGAGAACGTTACGAGCAGCAACTTCACAAATCGCCAGATCGTCGGTCAAAGCATGGCTGCGGCGTCAACGAGAGAGGCGTGCTCGTACATTTACTCTGCGACCCGCTTGCATTCCTTGCTACCGGTATTAAAACCGGTAGCCAGCCAGCTATTGAGCGGTATCCCGGGTGCTTGAACAACAGTACTCATTCATTTTATATAGTGTGCATCCGATTTGTACGTATTTAGTGTGTGTCCGAATTTAAAAGCGTCCGAATTTAAAGGTCCTCAAAGTTTCGAAACAAGGACC